TAAAAGTAACGCTGACACACACACATCAAACATGGCGCTCCCAACACTGGCCCTTGGGACAGGAACCAAGGTTTCTTCCATATCTGTAGAGAACAAAGGCATCTGCACATTACTCTGATCATACGAAACGGATTCCACTAGGGGGAAAACCCCTTGGCTTTCAGCCACCACTGGAGGGGCCTCATGTGTACAAGGCCCAAAGGTACAATGTTGGATGCCGCTGCCATGAGGCCCAGCATTCTTTGAAATTGCTTTACAGTGATGGCCTGGCCTAGCTTTACCCCAGAAACCATTGTTACAGTAGGATGGACTTGACACATGCGGGAGACATGTGTGCCGGTATTGTAACCGAATTCCATACCATGCCCAGAAACATTGTTTCCTGAGCTAGTTCCAACACCCTCTTTTTTGTGTTGAGTCTCAACCCAGATTCTGAATGTGGCCAAGGACAACATCTCGATAACGAACCGCCATTTCCTGAGACTGAGCCAATATGAGCCAGTCGTCGATATAATTCAGTTCATGAATGCCCTGGAGTCTTAAAGGAGCCAGAGCTGCATTCATACACTTTGTGAATGTGCGGGGAGAGAGTGCTTGGCAAAGCAGTCCTCGGACCTGATTTGATTCACAATGATGGGACTCGTAAGCATCTTGAACCTGAATCTCCTCAGAGGCCGATTCAGGTGCATTAAATCCAAAATCGGCCTTAGCCCGCCATCCTTCTTTGGAACTATAAAGTATCGGCTGCAAAACCCGGACTATCTGTCTGGCAGGGAAACAATTTCTAAGGCCCCTTTGACCAGTAGAGCCTGTACTACTTGTTCCATAAACTGAGCCTGTTCTGGAACCACTGTGGTCGGTACCACCCCTGCAAATCTGGGAGGTCGGTGACCGAACTGCAGTCTCTACCCTTTTTCTATTATATTTAGGATCCATATAGAAAAATTTGGAAGAAGGCGCCACCCCTCCACAAAAATTTACTATGGGAACCAGCCTCTCGAGGCTGGCCTCGGGTGTTTCACGAGCACTGTTCTTGACCTTCTGAAGCAGCGAACTGGCAGGAAGCGGACGAGACCGATTTTGTGACCATAGTCGGTCCTACAGACCTTAGAGGTCCTACCAATCTGGCTAGAACATCTTTCCTGAAGCCCTCTTTGCTTGAATGACAGCCCTCAGGTCGCCCTTCTGGCCAGAGGATTTAGAATGAGAGCGTTTCCTCTGTTGTCAGGCTCCCACAGGAGGGGCTCGAGAGGAAATGCTCTCCTTTTTCTCCAGGCGAAGGGAGGAGCTGGCTGACGGCCTTTGGCTACTCTCGAATAGCTCTCGCGGTACTTTGATAGCATACGTCAGTTATGTGGAGTAGGGATGGGCATATTAATCGATCACTTGAATACTCGAATGTGACAGCGACGATCGATCTCAAAAACGATGATCTAAATTTAAAAAAATATTTTTTTTTGATTGGTTATAGCAGCATTTTAGGCGGCACCGATTGGTTAGCATTGACAGAGCACGCGGTCCAAAGTCCAAACACAAAACAGAGAAAATGGCGTCAAAGTCACATAGTGATGTCTGGCTTCACTTCGACAAAATAGATGAAAAAACAGTTCAGTGCAAAATGTGCAGCACCAAGCTGTCACACAAATCTACAATGAGTACAATGCGTTATCATCTTGTATTTGTACATAAAATGTCTTCTGATATCACCAAAGACGCAACTCGCAAGACGAGCATCGCATCTTTTACCGTCAGACAGAAATGCACCGCAGCCAGAGGTGAAAAGATGACACAACTAATCATTGAAATGATAACGAAAGATTTGCTGCCGATTCGTTTTGTCGAAGGAGAAGGGTTTAAAAAATTGAGGAATTATGTTGAGCCCCAGTATGACATCCCATCGCGCAAGACGGTCACGAGACGAATAGAGGCTCTATATGAAAAGACTGCTGCTTCACTGAAAGACAGACTGTCAAAGACAATGAAGATGGCTATCACTACTGACGCATGGACCTCGCTGACCACTGAGTCCTACATAACACTAACTTGTCATTACATTTCTGAATGGGAAATACATAGTGCAGTGTTGGAGACGTGCAGTTTCGACGAACGACATACCGCTACGAACATAGCCAACTACCTAAAAGGAGCTACAGAACAGTGGCTGTCAAGCTCTGAGAAAGTTATTGCATGCGTTCATGACAACGCTAGTAACATGGTTCTCGCGAATCGAGGACTTTGGGAATCAGTACCCTGCTTCGCACACACCCTGCAGCTAGCCATCAACGAAGGCTTCAGTGTTGCTTCTGTTAAAAGCGTGATAGCTGCCAGTAGCCGACTGGTGGCACATTTTCACCACAGCACCGTGGCTACAGCAGCACTTCGTCAGAAACAAAAGCAGCAGAACGTACCTGAACACAAACTGATCCAGTAGTGTCGTACGCGGTGGAATTCTGTGTGCGATATGTTCGAACGTCTTTTGGAACAGAGATGGACTGTGTGCGCTGTTCTGTCAGATCGTAATACTACAAAACTTGCAGATGCAAAGACACTGGACTTGAAAGATGAGCACTGGCAGATAATGGAAGAACTGATACCTGTTCTCCAGTCTCTGAAGTGCGCCACAACAACAATGTGCAGTGAGACGCAAGTTTGCGTTTCGATGGTCTATCCAATTACACATAGCCTAATCACTAAACACCTAAACACACAGATCGGTGAGTCTCCAAGAGTTTCGGAATTCAAAACAGCAGTGACAGAATCTCTGAAACGGCACTGAGGATGCTGAGAAAGTTTCTCTACCTCTGATTGCAGCAACATTGGATCCAAGACACAAACTTCTGAAGTTTCTTGACACAGAGCTTCGAGAGAGAGTAAACGAGAGTCTGAAACAGCTTTACGACAGCGTTACAGATTCTGTCACACCCATTCAAAATGACCCTCAGCCTGAACGAGCAGCGGTAACTACTGCGCTCGACACTCTTTTCGGTGAGGATTACGGCGCCAGCGCGAGTGATATTTGTTCGCGTGACACTGAAATAGAACGCTACTTCAGTGAGCCATGCATCTCTGTAAACCAGGACCCTCTACTGTGGTGGAAGGTAAACGAGAATCGGTTTGAAAAGCTGAGCATCATTGCCCAGTGGTACTTAGCTGTTCCTGTGACATCTGCGGAGCGTGTTTTTTCCACCGCCGGACTAATTGTGAATAGACTCCGCACACGCCTCTCACCTGAGCACGTACACCAACTTATTTTTTTGAACAATAATATGTAGGCTGTAGCTTGTTTAAGTTGCATTAGGCGTGGTAAAAAATAGGCCTATACAGGATTTTTTTTTTGTGTGTGTGTGTGTTTGTTTCAATAAATGTTTCTGTAGCAGTCGTTTATTACTTTGTTAAACTTGTTAAGTGAAAATTAAGCTGTTTGTTTTTGTTGTTTCATAAGAACAGTTGAAATATGCTGCTGAAGTAGCCTAACACTGAAGAGAATGTTTTATTTACTGTTGAATAAAGTAGCCTAAAAGTTTCAAGTGTGTTCATTTTTATGGCATTTCCTCTAAATTGTATTCAGATATCATATTCAGTCATGTGTTGTTCAGTAATTTAAGTCAGTTTTACTCTGACTAAAGTGTAATGTTAGTCAATATAATGTAAAATAACATTTTGATTTATCAGAAAGTGCTAATGTAATCCAAAATATTGCTTAAATATTAAATTGGTATCATTGTCTCCATGACTGACACACCCCGCCACCTACCCCGAATAAGCCACGCCCCCAAACAGGCCCCGCCAGCGAGTAATCAAGTACTCGTTTTTTGAGACCTATCAATGATCGAAATAAGAAATTGACAAAAATGCCCATCCCTAATGTGGAGTCAGCGCTGCATCAAGTCGGACAAAATTTCTAATCGGCATGCACTGTTTCAAGTCAGCCAAGTCTGCACAGAGCTGCATGAAGTCGAACAAGCCTAAATTCAGACGTGCTACGCTGAAGGGTGTCCCCTAGTGCCGTCACCGACGCAGTTTGAGGTCCCTCGAAAGGGAACATCACTCACTTTCTCAAAACCTTAAACACAAAAACAATTTTTCAAACCACATGCAGAGAACCTCCTACTATTCTGGCATAATCAAACAATTGCCTTCAAAACCATTTTATCAAAATAAAACAGTGCTTCAGATCATACACACAGTGAGCCAAAATTATAAACACTTCAGAGATCATTTGTTAGACACTGAATCCAAAGCATGCAGTTACAGAAAAAAAGTCTATCCACAACCCAGCTGGCATTTTAACGTTGATTCACCGGTGAAACAACGTCAGGGACCAAGGTTGGATCAACATTGGATTATGTTTCGATTTTGCAAATCTAATCAACGTTGATTTTGCAACGTTGTTTCACCGTTGACATCATGAATGTTGTTTCACTGTTGATGTCGCGACGTTGTTTCACGATCTCTCCTTTCAATATTGGTGAGTAAAAGTCGTATGTCGAAGTTAAACCAACATTTAATTATGCTTCGGTTTTGCAAATTGAATCAACGTTGCTATCGTGATATTGTTTCAGTCTTACCTTTCAACATGGGAGAATACAATTATACATTAAATTACAACGTAGTTTGAATACACGATCATAACAATGCTAACTGATTTAGTGATTAACTGTACATACTGTAGCCTACACTAAAACATTGTTTAATGTCAAATGACTGACAGCAATGGCTTAATTACAAACACATTTAATAAAGAGTTAGCACATGCTCAAGATTGTAAAACAAGTTTTATTTTGGAAAACAAAAAAGTCTAAAAATACTTTCTACATCTGAAAACTTTAACTTGCAGTGTTTTCAAAGTAATGTTAAAGTAAAGTACAAATCTAAATGGAATACTTAAAAGACAGTTTTTGTTCAATTACAGTAAAACTTAGATGAAATACATTTAATATTTTAAGTGTACAGTAACAGTAGAAAAACTTAGCATCTCAATAAAATGCGACAGTCTTTTGCATTGCTCTAGTAGAGTCCCAGCTTGAGGTCTGCTCCGATGCCATCGCTTCCTCTTGCTCCCTCTTCACTTCTTGTCTGCTCTCTGTACGATCCTGTAGCTCATAAATAAAAGCAAAAACAGTTAAAACTGAATACAAAATAATTTACAAGATTTTCACTTACACTGTTCAATAACAGTCGAGTTGAAAAAGTATACAACACTATCCAAGGCATGTTATGTATTCAGATGTAAATGTACAATATCAACCATAATTAACAAGCAGTTCTTCAGAGCCCCAGGTGGAATTGATTGCTGCTTAATATTAAAGGTCACTTTGAAATTAATTTTTGATATGTTTTATCTTACCTCAAGGGCATCCAAGATGTAGGTGTCTTTGTTTCCACAGTATTTTCAATTTTGACATTTTTAGGTCAAACCGTTCTTGTCTGTCAGTCATATAATGGAGGTCTATGGTCACCACCTCAAAGAGCATGCAAAGAAGTCCAGATTAAACATGATTTAATGACTCATAAATGTAAGTACACATTGATGGCCTAAGACACGAAACGAACGGTTTGTGTGAGAAAACCAACAGTATTTAGGCCTATATCGTTTTTACCTCTTGTAACCACAGCCAAGTCCAAGTGATCTGAAGGCATAATCGGTCTGCGCAAGCGCCGGAAGTGATTCATTGTTTACACAGAGATTTCGGAAGTTTTAACTGTCACTGGGATCTAAACATATTTAGATATATAGGAAATCGCAATAAAACTTCCGAATCTCTGTGTAAAAAATGAATGACGTACACACGCAAGAGATCACTCCCGGCGCATGCGCAGACAGAAGTGCCCGTGCCTTCAGATCAGTTGGACGTGGCTGTGGTTACAAGAGGTAAAAACGAAATAAATACTGTTAGTTTTCTCACACAAACTGCTCGTTTCGTGTCTTAGGCCATCAATGTGTACTTACATTTACGAGTCATTAAATCATGTTTAATCTGGACTTCTCTGTGCTGCTCTTTGAGGTGGGCCCCATAAATCTCCATTATATGACTGACAGACAAGAACGGTTTGACCTAAAAATGTCAAAATTGAAAATACTCTGGAAACAAAGACACCATCTTGGATGCCCTTGAGGTAAGATAAAACATATCAAAAATTAATTTCAAAGTGAACTATCCCTTTGAACCGTGATTAATTTTTCAGGATTCGTTGAAAGTTCAAGAGAAAAGCAATTAATAGCAAATTGTTATTTAAGTGAAATTACTGAACTTAAATATACAAGCTTGATAAAAATCATCATTAAAGAAGAAAATTTCAAATGGCATTTAGAGGCTTTTGCATCTGAACTCTTCATATATATATATTGCATTACTATAAATGTCTTTACTGTCACTTTTGATCAATTTAATGTGTCCTTTCTGAAGAAAAGTATTTCTATTATATATATATATATATATATATAAAAATCATATTGACCCCAAACTTTTGAACGGTAGTGTACATTTTTATTAAAGGGTTAGTTCACCCAAAAATGAAAATTAAGTCATTAATTACTCACCCCCATGCTGTACCAACCCCGTAAGACCTTCGTTCGTCTTCGGAACACAAATGAAGATATTTTTGATTAAATTTGAGAGCTGTATAACTACCACATTGGCTGCCTAAGGGACTGCCTCTTGACGGCCCAGAAAGTCAATGAAGAAAATGTTTAAATATCCCAAGTGACTACCGTGGCTCAACTATATGTTTATCAAGCGACGCGAATACTTTTTGTGCGAAAAAACAAACAAAAATAACGAGTTTATTCGACTATTTCTTTTCTTCCTTGTAGGCCAGAAACGAGATTTCCTTAGATTTCCACGACGCATCTGAGATCGCAATTCTCGCGCATGCGTCGTGGAAATCTAAGGAAATCTCGTTTAAAATATCTTCATTTGTGTTCCGAAGACGAACGAAGGTCTTACAGGGTTGGTACAGCATGGGGGTGAGTAATTAATGACTTAATTTTCATTTTGGGGTGAACTAACCCTTTAAATTGAGTAAAATCAAATCATAAAAGGTCAATGAATGCATACCAGAAGTGATAGCAGCTAAAGAAAAATCCTCCACCAAATTGCCAGTAATCATATGGATCCTTGGTGAGTCTGGAAGGGGAAACAAGAAATGATTCAATGAAAAGCTCTAAAAAAGCCCTAAAAAAGCAGGATTTTTTTTTTCATTCCATAAACAATCTTAAAATGTATTTAATACTACAAACATTTGCCATTATAACACATTCACACAACATGAACAGAGTACTGTCATCTTTGAGACTGTTAGTTATTACATGATTAAAATGTAAACGCATATTTAAAGCATGGCAATCCCATCAGAAAAATGTGTATCATAGAAAGGGAAGCACACAAAAAAGCCAACTGGTACATCAAAATCAAGCCATAATATAATGTTACCTGCAGCCTTTATCCTGTTATGACATGTCTGAGGGTCTTTCCCTTAACGTTACTGTTTTCCAGGACCGATGAAGGTAGGTGACATGACCTTTCACTGCGGCACTTCATAGGAAGAAAGACAAAAGTACAAAAAGTTACTCAGACTTTCTATCAGTAAATGTCTTTCTTTGATGATGAGAATCATACTTTATACTTTATATTAATCCCAGTGTAGGTTTTCGAAAGAGTGTGTAAAATTGGCAAGAAATAAAACAAAAACAACTTACTGTAGTTGGTGGATTTGTCTCTATGGGTGTTCTCCCCCCGAAAAAATCATATTCCAATGCTTAACCTAAAACAAATATAAACAAATATAATCATTGGCAGTTATCAGTGTGCTTAGAGGTTTTGAACTTCTAACGAATAAATTACGATTTTATCACTTTATTCCGAGACTAATTAACGTTACCTCTCATGCATTTAAGCTAACACAAACCACCAACAACAACGCACAGCAGTGTCAGATGGTAACGTAAGATACATGAATAAACTTAATAATATCTCTAGCGCGCTTCACTGATGCAGTAGAAAAACACTCATTTGCAGGCTGCTGCATTAGGCCTATGTCCGTTACCAGTTTGTAAAAATCTTGTCTACAGACAGTAAAAAATGAAGATAATGATCTTCATTAACGGGTGATTATCAGCTTATAGCGTTACCCACAAACTAAATTTACATTCTATTCAACAGATTTAAACAGAACAGAACAGAACGTTAATAGCCTACCTTTTAAACATTTATTGATATTTGTTAACATATCTAACTTAAAGTGAAACTGGTAACGACATACATTAAGGACAGGAACGTTTAACGTTCACGTTAGACTGTTAAGAATGAAAAATGTTGTCTTACCTTTAGTGATTTCGCCAGTATTTTTACAGACCACGTAACATTACGACCCCATCCTCTGTTCACATTCCAGCTTTTGTCCTTCATTGACATATCACAACTCAAATTCGCTCAAAATAAGAATTTAACAAGAATTTTTAAAATAATCCGTGTCCGACGGGGTAATAATCAGCAGAGCAGATGCTCACCTCACACACCGACTCAAACAATAACGGACGTATTTTCAAACTTAAAATAGGCGCGCATTTTGTCATTGGCCAGTTTCCTGGAAGACAGAAAGATTAACCAATCATGATCAAAGTAAACCGGTGAAACAACCAATAACAGTAGTTTCAGCGTGGTAACGTAGCGAAATGTGTATAGTATATTTAGTTTGCAGTCTGTATTTATTTAATTAATTTGTCAAATGGTGTTTTCATGACAGTGTATGATTTAAAAAAAATAATAATAAAGCATGGTAAACTGTTAGGTAAGCACACAGTATTGTAAATCCACACAAAATCACAAAGCAAAAAGTTTGATAAAAAAATGATAATAATTATATTTTAACATAGCTATTGAAAGGCTGTATTATCAGAATATCATTAAATGCTAATAATAATCATAAACTTTATAAGGCAGATTTCCGTTGTATGTTGTTGAAAACATTACGTTGTTCCAACGTACAGATCTTGTACAAATTTCAACGTTGATTTAGAAGTGTTTTCTTAACATTTTTCAACCGTTTAGCATTAAACGTTATATCAACGTTGTTTCAATGTTGAAACAACAATTGACATTATTTCAACCATATTTCAACGTTGAAGGTCGGTCGTATGCCAGCTGGGAAGTTTCCGAGGGGCGCTCCTGTAAAAAATAAAGTGGGTGAAACTTCCGGTGAGGCGGCGGAAGTAGCATTCCAATGGTATTTTGTGTGTTAGTTAGCGAAGAGGCTAGCTGTTTTTCTGAGAATTATTTTACTATTTAAAGACGCAAATCTTTATGAGAGATGTCGTTACTGAGCTCATGGACAACATGTGCTGTTCGCGGTTGTATGTATAACCTGACTAAACTAGTTCAGTGGCTTAAACGTGATTGTTTTGAACATAAGCTGAAAACGAAATCAGAGTGTTCCTGCCAACGACTGTAGTTTCCATCACCTCCCAAAAGACGACGAATCTTCCTGTGTACATTTGTTTAAATTCTTAATATTCTATAAACTTTTATCAGCATGTGTTTGGCTGTTCTCTACTGATGTTGCGCCTAAACTCAGGATCAAAGCCTGAGGTGACAGAATACCAAATGTGCCAGTTAATGTATTCAAGTAGCACATTCATTTATAATTTTGAATAAACTCCAAAGCACAATGACTAAGTGTGTATTTTTTATTTTAATTGTTTGTCAGCTCGCACAACTGTCTGTCACCATGCCTTGATGAGTATTGATTATTAATAATGTTATTATAATACTCCCAATCAACTACTGTGGAGGGTAAAGGTACTGTTATTTCACCTTTTTTAATTTCGTTGAGGTTGTGTTCCCACATCGTTAGCTAGTTTGGATCGCTATAACTTGAATGACTGTCAACTGTTGAATGAACGAGTGTCAAGCATGTCAAATCGTGCTTTGTTTACTTCCAACCGGAAGTCGCGCCCACTTTTGACGCAAGGCCTCATGGGCCGTAGGAAACTTGTGGATAGTAACAAAGTAAACATTTTGCAACTACGCAAAAAAGTAATGACAACGTACAGTTGTAATATGAAATAACTTGTATACCGTATCCACTGCAAGTATAGGATTGTAATGAATATTGAATGTTTGTTTATTCAGCACTTGTGGCCCAAAATTTTGAAAAACTCTAAATGAAAATGGTAAAAATATGGTAAATGGACTGCATTTATATAGCGCTTTCATAGACCCAATGGCCACCAAAGGGCTTACATTTGCCTCACATTCACCCATTCATTTGTAGCAAATGCAACATTTAATAATATACATAAATGTATTTAAGGGGGCCGGAAAGGCCAATTTAGCTCAAAGGGGATGATTCATTGATTTACAATGAATCTTGACGAATCACTATGGAACCGAGCAACTGACTCGTTTAGAGTTCATTTGAACGGGCCGTAATTATAACCTTTGCAAGGATTATACCCAATTTATAGTGAAACACTACGTCTTAGCAAGGTAACTTTAGATCGAACAGTACAAGACATATGCAAGCACGACACAAGGCAATTATCTTTTCATATGTATGGAAGACTTTATTAGCTATTCTAAACACAAAACTAAGGTCTAAACATAATCACACACACACACACACACACACACACACACACACACACACACACACACACACACACACACACACACACACACACACACACACACACACACACACATTCATACAAGGCGCAGAGGAAAAGAGAGCGAAAAAGAGTGAGTTGGAACGGGAATGAGAGAGAAAGACTCTCTATGCACTTTACAAGACATAACGTGCGTACGCACTCTTTTAGAAGAGTAGCCGGTAACACTTTAAAATAATGGTCAGTAGTTAACAAGTAGCTATGCAGGAAGTAATAGGTAGTACTGCATTAACACCGAAGTTAATACTATTAACTAATATGGAAGCAATATTAACTAAGCATTAAGTAATAGGTAATTTAGTACAAAGGTAGTTCCTTGGTAGGTATTTGATTGTTACTAAAAAAAATATATCCTCATTGAGAACTACTTGTGAACTAAGAAATAATAACCAATTAATTACTAATCACAAAAGTAACATGTCTAAAAAGTGAAGAATTGTGGGGGTTTTACTCTTAACATGGTCATAACATTTCAGAAGCACGTGCCTCAAATGGGTTCTTTGTGGAAACCAGTTTATGAAGTTTATACATCCCTCCAAATACATTAGCTAGGTTGAGATTGTGACCACTACTCTTGCCAGGATGGACGCATGTTCTCTGTTTATTTAAAACTTAAACATAGAATAATCCTAATAAAGACAGTTTTTAAAAATAAATCTTAAATAATTAGGAAGTGATGCAGACACTCTCATGATTGGATTAGTTCACTATTATGGGCTCTATTGAATGTCAGTCACATATATCTCAGACTCCAAAAACCTATAACTTTATGTTACAGTAGCTGCCTGAGAAGGACTTCTCTTTAGCACATGAATATAAACATTGATGTTCACTTGTCAAAAACAATTAGCATCTTTAATGAACAAATTGGCTGCATTTATGTTACGATAAGCGCAAAACCACATCTTCCAGATTACAGTGTTTGTTAGAATATTAGTGCCTCACAGAACCTGTGTACAGTATGTGTCAAATATAAAATTAAATTACTTGTATCATTTGTGAAAAACATGTTAACTCCTCAATAACTACTTAAGCATTACCTTGTCATCCCGCAGGAACTACTAGTGATGTGGCCCATTATTTTAAAGTGAAAAACATGTTAACTCCTAACTAACTACAAGCGTTACCTTGTGTAAACATTCCGGGATGACAAGGTAACGCTTGTAGTAAATGCAGCCAATTTCTTCATTAAAGATACAAATTGTTTTTGACAAGTGAACATCAATCACTGCATGAAAATAGGTGTATCCGGACCAGTATACTCCTGTATACACTGCTGAAATTCGGAAGAATCCAGGAGTATAGTGGCCGGATATGTCAAATTCCATGGGTTTGTATATATCCGCATACATCCGGAATGATACCAAATCGGATGTATGTTGTGGACGTATACTTCCGTGCTAGAGCCATTTGTTGCCATGGCAAGTAATCCCATTAAAGTTTTTAGCAGGAAAAAATCACACCTTTTTGCAGGAAACATTCACACCTTTTTGCCTTCCAACCAAACTGGATTGGTTGTTCTTTTAAAGCCACTCCCAACACCCAGACCACTATTGGAGGGCAGGACACATTGAAAACCCAGTAAACGGACTTTATTGGTTACTTTTAAACATAGCCCACCCTAGGCCTTGTAGCATACTGATTTGATTGGTTATATACCAGCTATGCAGATATTGCTCAAATATATACCAAACCTCCCTCCCCCAATTTTAATATATTCATTAAAATAAATTTGATATATATATATATATATATATATATATATATATATATATTTATATTTATATTTAAACACACAAAGAACAATGGGAAAGTCTGAAATTTTTATTA